CTGCCTCATCGGCTGACTTCTAGAAACAGACAGGTGAAAAGGAGAGGCCAGTGGAGCAGAAACTTTTCTGATTTGGTTGATAAAAATACATAAAAGTAGAGGGATTCCTGTCAGAGGTGAAAGATAAAATATTTAAAGTGTGACAGAGGGATGTCTGACTGTGGGCAGGAGAGAAGGACGCTGAGCTTTTTCCTTGAAAATTCTGTTTATCAGAATATAAATATAAAAATAACAGACAAATAAAAAGCGCACATCTTTACTATAGATCTAAAGAAAATAAGGTCTGCTGAGGCTCTAGAAGTACTTAATTCTAGTAGGACAAATGTACTTTGCTCTACAAACCTGTGGCTTCCTCATCCTTACTCACCTGTTTCTAGCAAAAATGTAATTGATCCTTATAAAGCACAAGTATTAATTTCTTAAATAGTTATTACAGGATTTAAGAAAGAATGAGAGATTCTACCCAACCATTTCACTTTGGTCATTAATTGCATTTACTAAAAATGTCCAATAAAAATTGTAGAACTTGCCAAGTTTTCCATCTTAAACTGAATACTAAAATGTGTTTGTATTTTGTAAGTGTTTTAAAGCGTATTAAATTCTAGGCCAGAGTAATGTTAAAATGAGAGTCCTATTAGTTTCAAATGATTTACTAACTTGCATGATGCTTAGAAAGTGGACATTTCTTACCATACCATTTTTTAAGTACTCTACACGTTTAAACTTTTTTAAAAAGCTTATCAAATGTTTTTATTTAAGGCCAGCTGTTCAGTCCCAGTCATTGCATTGACTGAAAACTATTTTTGGCTTTGTTTTACGTTAGACATTTGGCCTTTAATAGAGCTGTAACCACTGCCATAATTACTCATGCAGTCTTCACTTCGGCAAACTTTGTTCTCTGTTTTGACTCATCAAATCACAGTGAGTTGTCCCGAACAAGAGTCATTTCGCTGACCTAGGTTTCATCTTGAACATTATTCTTTTTCCTCACATTTCTTGTGATAGCGGTAACACGTCTGTAGATGTTAGGGTTTTGCAGTTCTTTCTTCTTGAGAGTTAATTTCTCCAGTTCTTTGTGTTTTTCTCTTCAGTTGAAACAAAAACCATGTGTTCCTCCATCTGCAGGATAGCTCCTTCTAAGTAGAGCCAGATAACTTTGAAATATCTGGATTCTGGGCCAAAGTCAATAATCCTGGATCAACCATGCCTACGGTGCAGAGTGTAACGTGATGTGTCTCCTGTTGATGGCAGAAAATTGTTAGCTAAAGCAATGACCCAAAAGCTGACAAACTACACTCAGTTGCTTTAGGGATCCTTTAGGGGTTCTTCTCACTTACAGAAACTTGAAAAGGATTCCTTATGTTAATTTAAGTGCTGTCTAAACAAAAGAAAGTGGTTAAACAGGAAGTTATGTTCTGGTTTCTACACTGCAAAAAATTGAAATCTAGATAAGTCTTTTTTTAAACAAATTGATTTTTTCTTGTATTAAGGAGGTAAGTGAGAGATTTTGCCAATGGAAGAAGACAATTTATATTTAAAATAAGAAAAAGCAGTTGCATTGTCTTATTTCAATTGCATATTATCTAATTATCTTATTTCAAGCGTAAAAATACTAATTCTAATTGCAAATCATCTTATTTACCTGCTCAAATTGTTTGCTTATTTCTAGATTGTTTTTTGCAGTGTAATTGGGAAAAACTCCTTAAGGCCTTGTTGCATATTAAATGTTTTTTTTCTTCCATTAATTTAATTTAATTTTTTGTTTAATCTTCACCACTACATTGAAGGGTATATGGCAAATGGTAGCACTGATATGTTAGCCCTATTTAGTTGCTATAAGTATTAACAACTTCATCTAAAAACAGCTTCGTCATGCTGTGGTAAGATTCAAATAAAAGGTGGAAGGGATGAGGTTGAAGTAAAGCAAAACTTGGATCAAAACACAGCAACTGAAAACATCTCAGCAACCTATTCCCTAATAGTTAAATTCTGGTTTCATCCACAATTTACATAACCAGTGCTGCTTGTTTGGGGAAATTTTCCCAGTTTGTTAATACTTTGGGGTTTTAGACATCCTCTGCATTCCTCACAGTTGTTGTCCTTAAAGTTTCTTTCCTGTTTAAAGCATCACCTCAGGTGACAGTCTGAAAACAAAGCAGCACAAAAGAAACTGCTGTAAACAAAAATCGGAGAAAACAATTGTATCAGTGCTGTCTGTCTCCTTCAGTCACGGCTGAATTGTTTCTCTTTAATCAGTGAGAGAGTTGACAGAAGAGGAGTTTACCCAATGTAATATTACCCCAATATTCCTATTAAGTAATTGTTCACTTTTTGCCGTTTGTTCTAAATACTAACATTGTCAGTTTTCAGTGTTTACATTGAACAAGATAAGAAAAAGGCCAGTGAAGCATAGCTGTAAGCAAAAACATGCAGAGAAAAACAGGAGTGATCTGCAGACTTTGTCCTTGCAGATATATTTTTGCATACCTAGTTTTTTTTGTTGTTGATGTTTTCTGTCTGGCTTCTTGTTGCTTGAAAACATTGATATTATGAAGATTTTGGAATTAGGCCAAGTTTAGTGGGTAAACCTTTGGTAACAGCTTCATGGTGGAACAACTCCCTTTTTAGACCAGTACAACAAAGCTAAAACAACACCAGCCATGCAAGTTCCTACACATCCCAGGGACATAATGTTTCATGTGATCTACACCTTGAAGAAAAGTACATGTTCCAACTGTAGTGAACACCCCTGCCAAGACTGTACGTTCATTTTGAGATGTTTACATTATACATAAGACTTGAAGATCAGAGTGTAATAATGGTTTGCTTTCACTCTTATTACTGTTTTGTTAATAATTACATTGCAGCCATATTGTAAATGTCTCTTCTGTGCAAATGGTTCCTGGTTGTCATTGTGGTCATTGAACTTTTAATGCTCAGGATAAATCAAGGAAATCAAACAATGCAAGTAAATATAAATCTTACTGTGTAATTGGTTAATTTGAAATAGTTCTTATTGTAAAAAGAATTTAAATTTATTAGGCTGAGAGAGATGATTAGGACATTCAAAGAATGACTTTTGACTTGGATTCCAAATTCAATATGTAATCCATCCATCCATTGTGGGTGGGGTATACCCTGGACAGGTCACCAGTTAATCACAGATTTATAATTCAGTTCAGTTTATTTATCTATCGCCATTGGAGAAAAGAGATATAATGAAGCAGAATGATAAAAAGTGTCCCCTTTGTCCACCAGCATCTAAGCCAATAGCAGCATAACTGATAGCGCAGGGTAACATGAGCCACCCTAACTTTAAGCTTTATTAAAAAGGAATTCTCTAAGCCTAGTCTTAACAGTAGACTAGGTATTTTCCTCATAGAGTAAAACTAGTTGATTGTGTGGTTGGTACAACAGGAGAGGAGCTAAACTAAAGATCTACCAGATCTGCTTCCTATTTTACTTCTAAATTCCAGGAACCACAAGTAAACCTGCAGACTAAGAGTAAAATGCTCTGTTGGGAGCATAAAGAAAATCAGATATTTGGTATAAGATTGGATTATTTAGGGCTTTGTATGTGAAAGTAATGATTTGAAATTCTGTTCTGGATTCATATGAGTCAGTTTAAGCCTTTCAACTTGAGTTTGTGGAATTCATAATAGTAAAGAATAACAGTAGTCCAGCCTTGAAGTAACAATACAAAGACTATCACCGTCACTCCAAGGTAGACAAGGTATCTCCAATTTTGCGATAATCAGGAGATGAAAGAAGGAAAGGAGCAGAATGTTTTTCCAGATTAGGTAGTATTTCTTTATGCATTTAGAGCATAACTTTCTCTTCAGTTTCCCAGCGTAATGCTTCAAAGTATGCAGCTCTGCATTGAACTGAGGCGGCCTCTATCCACCTCGTTTTAAGTAATCCTCGTTTTTTTGCATACCCAAATGGAAAAGCAAATACCTAAGGAATTTAAAGCCCACATTTCATGTGTGATACATCATCTTAAAATATAAATGAAAACAGTGCGACTAAAACACAGAATAGCATATGCATTATAGTAGGCATGCGCCATAGTATTACATTTATTCTGTATCATGTCCACCACAACTTCAGAAAATTTCAGACCTATAGGTGTAACAGTGTCAAAGCTATGGGACTTATAACTCCTGGTGTCACCAGCATCTCCAAACCTCTCCAAATGTTCCAAATTATGCCAAATTGTGCGTATTGCTTTTACACATTATTTGACCCAAAGAATCACAATGAAGCATTTTGATGGCCACAAAACATGTCTGCACCAAATATTTGTCAAATGTTCTAACTTTCCATCTAATTATCTAAATGAGATAGGAAGTCTGAAAATTGAGAGTAAGGACTTGGTGGACAATATAAGCAGAAGGTGTTTTTTTTTACAAATTGGATAGGGAAAACTAAGCGATAAATATTCAAAAGAATTGTAACTAATAACTGGCTTTTGACTAATCAATAAGTCAGAATGAAATATTGTTGCTACTCTTACAAGCCTAGAATTTCTGGGCATATAAAACATGCAATAGCTGGAGGGAGTTGCCTAATTTAACACTGACATAATCCACTTGTTTCAGCCATGTTTCTGTAAGACGACTTAAATTATGATTATCATATATCATTAACTAATAAACTTTTTAAAGAAAGATCTCTTTTGTTCAATAAACCATATTTAAGTATTTAAATTGTTTTCTCAATTGGAGTCAATTTGATTATTTTGATTATAATTATATTATGATTTACTAATTTTGGATTTGTTTTCTGATTTTTTTTTTATTTTGGAAATGGGCAAGACACTTTTTAGGTGTAGTTTTAATTTGGCAAAATATGGACTTATGTAGATGTGAACAACTTCTGTTCGAGACATATACTTGGTTACAGCGAAAGCCCAACCAAACTAAGGCAGGGTTGAAAATCCCTTTATTTCCTGTCTGGCTTTGGTATCTTCAGCTGTCTCACTGTGTTTGTCTTCTCAGATGCTCGGTGTGCTGTGACAACCTGACCAACTGGTACTATGAGAAGGATGGCAAGCTGTACTGCCGGAAACACTACTTGGAGCAGTTTGGAGAACTCTGTCATGGCTGTTCTCTGCTAATGACAGGACCTGCCATGGTAAGAAATCTTTTGGCAATATTTGCCTTTTTTCCAAAGACATTATACAACTGCATGGTCAAATAATAACTGTTTATGCATCGTAAAGTTTGTTAGCAGTTTTTTTTTTTCATTTCTGGAGGCTGTGTTTAAATTGGTCAATGTGAGTATATAATAGTCAGAACAGAATTCAGTTGTAGGAACATCATTTGTTTCATTTTATCCCCTAAAAAGGCACTAAAAATACACATATATATATATTGCAAAATTGTCAGGCTTATGATGATTGCTGAAGTCTAAATATTTTTGACCTCAATCTGCAGGAAAAGATTTGGATTTGATTATATTAAGTTACTTAAAGTGTTTGGGTTTTTTTACTACACATGAGTAGTCCATTCCTTTATTATAAATGTGGAATCATTGTCCAAATGTATGTAGTATGTAGAAGGATTCATAGTTTAAGTCTAATCTGCAGTTTTAGTACATTTTAAAGCAGAGGACTGAGCTACATTTAGGCACAAGACTAAGACTAAGTTTCATTTTTAGATATTCTCTTTGATGTTGCTCAAAATGGGCAAGATTAACACATGTACAGGGAACCTTAGTAAGAATGTGTCAAAAGCCTTTAAACAAAGTAATCCTTGTTGCCAACACTTTGTACAAATCGGATTACGACAATAGGCCAGCATTACGTTTTTGCCTTTTTCACAGGATAGGAGAAATGTAACAAATAGAGACGTTCGATGACTCTTTTCTGGGGAATGCTTTAGCACAGGTCTGGGGACCTTACATTTCCTCTGTCTCTTCTGCAGGTTTTTTAATGCATTTAGTTTATGGGATTGAAATGGAAGATAAGGTTTCTTTTTCCTCTGTTGATCCATTACTATGTTGATTTGATCTCATGTGTTTGTTTAATAACCGGCTGCCGGACCCAATGCTAAACCATTATACTTTAATACACTTTTTGATGCCATGCCCTCAATGACAAGGTTCCCAGGCTTTTTAAAAAATAAACAGACCTACAGCATCACAGATCCTTTACAATACTTGACAGTTGATATTCCTATATACTCAACCTTATTTTAATTCCAGTTGCTAGAGCATAAAGGAAAGGGTTATTATTATCTGTTAGGTGAAATTTAACACCAGAGGGTAGAGGACAAAACCATAAAAACATAGATGCTGAAATGACATTATTTTAAATGATAACTTCGTTGTTATTATTAAAACAGTAGAAAGGGCTTCCAATAAGAGCTAACTTTAAGTCTGGCAATCCAGCTCTGTTTTGAAACAGTTTTTACTTTTTTTCCGTTTTATAAATGTGCTCAAGTTAAAGGCTAAATATTTCTATCATCTTTTCAGTATATATAGAAAAGAATCTAAGGGTAACAATATACTCATAAAAAAAAAAAAGTCAAAACCAACTTAGTAGGGACCTAGTTTTAGAGTTACTGGTCAGGTAAATTTTTCTGTAAATGCTGATAATATATCACTTTTTTCCAAGAATATCTTTGCTTCTTTGTTTTTAGATTGGTCCTGTGTTTGGTTTTAAATCTGGGTCTGCTTTAGCTATCAATCTAAGCAATAAGTCATTCTAACTCCTTTTAATTTTTTAAAAGAAAGAAGGGTCTCAAGGATTTTCTTACTGGAATGTTGGGAACTTTGACATGGAAAATATGCATGAGGGGAAAATAACTAATTGCATAACGATTTGTTATTAACATGTTAAGAACCTCCTTATCTACACTCCATAACTGTTCTTAAAGGTGTAGACGAATATAATGCAGAGGTTTTATTCTTCTTCAGATGTTAAGAGTAAGAATTTTAGTTTATATGTGAAAGATAGCTCTTTTGGCGTGCCACTGAGTTTTGTAAAAGGGGGCTCCACATAGACTGAATTAGTTTTCCCCCCTTGAGGCCCCACTCTGTTCCCACTCTGTACAGACGTTCTCCACGGTTCACTTCCTCGCATGCAGGCTCTAGTGGGAAAACACCAGAACATGTGGTGGTTTTGGAGTATGTAGAGTCCAGTGTGGTGAGAAACTGTTCTTAATATTACCCACAGCAGTGATGACCAACATGGATGGCTGTTCTGAGATCCAATCTTTTTTCTTCTAGAGTAGTCTGTGCTTTACTTGTGTCATGAAAAAAAGATTAAAAAACTACTTTTATGTTGTCCTCTAGTTTGTTCCTTGTGTCTAAAAGTTAAAACATCAGATTTAGCTGACAGCTTCTACTGCTGGTAACAAACAATGCCACCCAAATAACATGCAGTCAGACTGAAGGTATTCTTTCTGCCACCAAGCAACAAGCTGAATCTGATGGCGTCCAGCCTCCTCATCCAGTGAGGCAGAGTTTTTTTGGCAGGACTAACTGGCACCACAGCCAATCAGCCAAAAAGAAAAGCATTGTGGTCCAGCAGCAGAGGAGGCTCTTGCAAAGCTGCTGCTGCATGTTTGGCATTCAACCCCAGAACACAACTGTTTCTATTTTGGTTGGTTTTTGAGATGAATTGGAATATTATAAGATATTTCTTAGTATCAGTTTGTGAAAGTTTGCTTTGCTGCTCAATTTTTCTTTTTTAGAAGGTTCTTTACGTCTCTGTCCGACTGTTGAGGCCTAGGGTAGGGCGTAACTGAGAGGGTTTTGTTATTGTTTTGCTTAAAGGTAAGGAGCTACAGACAGGCTCATGAGATGTCACAATCGTTGAGCTGACATCACCCTCGAGCAGCCGGGGATCCTTTCCCAGCACAGACAATCTGACTCGCGGCTATAGAACATGTTGGAAAAATACCGCAAACATGTCTGTACTGAAGTTCCAGGTGGAATTAGACAGGAAAGTGAGATTTTGTTTTTCTTCTTTCTTTTGTTTTTTTTTTTAGCATGTTCCTCTTGCACAATGCAGCACACAAACATTTAGAGGAATGCTCAAATGGAGAACGTGAATGTTTCTGATTGTTTTCTTAATGTTCTAAAGTCAGCTTTTGTGATAGATTAGTTATTACCTTGTAAAATTGTTAAAATCACTTATACATCTCGACATTTTTATTTCAAAATTTGCCTGGTTTAATTCTGTAAAAAGTCTTCAAGGAACCTTTTGCTATCTGATTATTAACCGATAAATAGAAAAAATAATCGACAGATAACCTGATTTGCAAAATATTTTTTAGTTGCAGCCCTAATAAATGTATAAGGGTGGATAAATATTTAATATTTCATTCTAGTATGAATTGATCTCTAAAGCATCCAGTGGTTTATTAGAAAATAGTAAAGTACATAGAGAAGGTTTTAAATTTAAAGCAGCGTTGGTATTATTGGTCAAACAAGAAGTGCAATAATAATTAGACAACAGCTAACAGGCCTATGATAACTCTGGGGGAACTGCAGAGGTCCACCACTCAGGTGGGTAAATCTGTTGATAGAACTGTTAGTAATGTGCTCCGCAAAGTGATCTTTGCATCACAGTGAAGTGAAAAGAAGTAGTCTATAGTCCTGATTGCAGTCTCCCACATTCCAGGTAGAGTACAAACCAACCATTTCAGATAAAACCCTTATTTCTAAACTATAATTACTTTTTTAATTATTAATGGATGATAACAAAATTACTACTGTACATCAAACTATGTGAGACATGATTATGGAGGTGGTAGCATCAAGGAAGGTGATCAGAGTTTATTGTAAGATGGATGGAGCTAAATAGAGGACATTTGTTGAAGGAAATCTCACTAGGTGATGAGAGTCTGTGCAAACAACCACCCTATGTGTAGACCCAGAAATGCATAAAATGGTTTAGTTCAGTGGCTAGGCACCCTTGAGTGCCACTGTCCTGCAGCATTTACATGCATCCCTACTCCAATACCCCTGAAACAAAAGGTTTACTTGCCTTGTTGGCATGTCATCAAGTTTAGCCGAGGACTGGCCATTAACCAGGGATGCAGGCAGTTGCATTCCCTATCACTGGTTTAGATAAAAGGATAATTCCAGGGTTGAATCTATTAGAGAATTGATAACAAAACGTAATGTTGATTTATCGTTGATGATGATATTTAAGGTTCACGGACACTCTCCATCAGATTTACCTAACATTGATCTGATTTGTGAAGGCGATAAAGCTGCTTAAACCAAACGACTCTGATGTTACTGCTGCTTAAGGTGTTTCTTCAAATTTTTGAATCCGAGGGGCTGAATACAATTGCACTCACACTTTAATTTGAAAATATTTTTGGAAAAAGAACTACAAGAAAATCATAATTTACATCTAACTTTATGCTTTTGATCGATTGTATAAAATCAATATAATATGCTGAAGTTAGAATTTGTAACCAGATTGCTACACAAAATATCCCAAAGGACGTGTTTGGAGTGCAATCATTATATTATGTGTTATGAGCCAAGATCGTTATGCTGATATTCCATTCAACCCTTTGGAAAGAGCTTCACTGCAGTTGATGGCCACATTGCCAAAGCAACAGGAGGTCAAAGGTGACTGGAAGTGTTGGAAGAACAGAGCAGAAAATAGAATTGTTGCCAAAACCTCAAATTTTCAAAAATGTCATACAAACGATTGAGCACTTTTACGAGGAGCTGTATCTAATCAGACCACCTGTTTGCCAAACACCAAAACATTATCTCATCTTGCATGGGAGAGGGAGAAAGAACGGCAGATGTTAAGAGAGCATGACAAATACTACGGAAAGGGAAATTGGTAAGTCATGTGCAGCAAGTGTCAGAGAGAGTCTTGAAAGCAGCAGGGATACAAAGAGCTCAGACCTGTCGAGGATGACGTCAGAGCAGATTCCAGACAGGCTGAGAGTGAAGCAGGTGTTACCGCTGTGTCACCGCTCACTGTGAGGGAGGGCTCAGGCTTCACAGCGCAGCACGTTTATTGATGAAACACTCTAGGATCAACACATACCTTTTTCTTTTCTCTTGTGCATGGAGGGTCACCTTGCTTGCTTCTGGTTGCAGGTGGCTGGAGAACACAAGTACCACCCCGAGTGTTTCGTGTGCCTGAGCTGCAAGGTGGTTATTGAGGACAGGGATACTTATGCCTTAGTGGAGAGATCCAAACTGTACTGGTAAGAGACTTTGTTTTGATTTGTTTTGAAAATATCTTTGAGAAAGTTCAGGCAGAGCGGACGTGTCAGATCGTAGGTTATCATCTCTGAACAGCTGCTGATTAAAAAGTTAAAATTAGAAGCTACATACAAGATTAGTAAATTATTTATTTTATTTATTTTTTTGCATGTCTTTTTTTCCAGTTACACAATAACTGAAGCCAAGTGTGCTTTGTCAGGCTTTAACAGCATTTGTTTTTTTTAGACACTAAGTGAATCATCTTAACTCTAATACTATAAATGCTTCTCAGACTTAGAACTTTTTAAAATGCATATCTATTAAGTTTCGAAAAATGTTGCAAGTTAAAATTTTTAGATACATATGATGTTTTATTTATGAAATGAATTGTGTTACCTTGTTATTTAGGGCAGTTTTTATAATCTTACTTGTGCTATATTATTTGTAGTATTTTCTTTTCTTATACACTATTGCTAATATTCATTATCATTATAAGCCCTAATTGAACAGTTTCCTCTCCTGTGTGCAGTGGAAAGTGCTACAAGCAGGTGGTCCTCACCCCCATGCTGGAGAAACGCTCACACGACTCAATCTTGGACTCCTTGCCCCACACAGTGACGCTCATCTCAATGCCCTCTGCAGCCAACGGAAAGAGGGGCTTCTCTGTGTCCGTGCTGTCGGACGTGAACGGCTCGGCCAGCGTTCAAGTCACAGAGTAAGTGGCAGACCGCTGGCGGCTGATCTGTATGCCTGTTTTGCTGTTGTTTGAGTGAGTGAGCGTGAGTAATGCTTTATGTAAGACATGATTATAGGTTTGGGGGCCCGCTGCTGTGTGTGTTGTTGTAAAAGTGTGTCACAGCATGTGAGGTAATGCTGGGAAGCTTGATGTTGGTTTTAAATCCACAATTTGCTCCTTTAATCCTTATCCTAGCCTGTATTGGGTTGTTTCAGTGTCAGAGGGATACTTATCAGTCCGGAGGTGCGAAGTGCTATCCACGTTGGAGACAGGATCCTGGAGATCAATGGCCTTCCTGTTGGAACGCTGATGGAGAAAGAGGTGAGCAACTACCTGACCAATGGGAAAACATTTCAGATCAACCAAAGTTTCCTGATTAACGTCATGCCTCAAGTGCGCGTTTCAAAGACATGTTCCCATCTGACAGTTGGATGTGAAGTTGTACATTTCTGACATTCCTCCATCATTTGTGCCTTCTTAGGTTGGGAGAGAAAGGAATTTAAATGACTTTGACCTCTCCCTTGAATTCTTAAGATGCCCTGTTGTTTTGCTTTTAATATTGCTGATCTAGTCTGTTTTTTTCCTACCACACATCAATATGGAAGCTGTTCCAAAGGTTGAACTTTGATGTTTTGTAATCTAGATCAACCGAATAGGAATCAAATTCTGATTAGAATCAAACTCGCTGACCTCTATACTGCTGTTGGCTTTAATTTCAATAGAATTAATAAGAATTAAAATACAGGTGGAATCATTTTGCCCTCCCTGGTGAAGAAAAGCATAAAAATGTATAATTTTATGCTACGCTACAAACATCTAATTTTTAATTTGATTAAATTTATTCAGTGGGAGAAAAAAAAATCCTGGTTGAAAAAACAATAAACTAAAATTTGCATCTGTATAACTAGTTTGACATTAATCCTCCCTTTAATTTTTTATTAATGTATATATATTATTTATATTTAAATTGATGTTTGGAGTCTTTTATTTAGTAATCTCTGAATTCCTTTTTCTCTGGTGTTCAGGTTTGCACAATATTAGAGGATATTAAAGGCTAATCTAATGATGTGATAAAAACGTGATAAATCCACATTTTTCCACCCTTCTCTCATTCTCATCAATGCTTCAAACTCTCTGCTACACTATGACTTCATACAACCTGCTGAAAATATTAGTGGAATGCAAATTATGAGCTCAGGAATCTTTGAATATTTAAGCAAGATTTTATTACTTAGCAGTTAACCCTTTCTGTCATTCATAATGGAAGCCCTTTTCTGTTAGTTACCAGCAACTAGGATGTACGGCCCATAGCTATTTCTCCACCAGGCAAATCACGGATGATGCAAAGGGAGCCAAAAAAGCAAAATTCTCTATGGCAGCTATTCAAATTTCCTCTGGGAGGTTTGGTCCACATTCCTGCAAGAGAACACTTATTAACCCTGCATCTCCTTTTCTCATTTAGGTGTACGATCTTATTCACCAAACCAGCCACACGCTGCAGCTGCTGATAGAGTACGACCCAGTGAGGCATCGTTTAGATCGGCTCAGACTGGGATCGCCCAGGAACGAGCTGGGGGTCCCTGCTACGTCCCGCATGCGTCTGTCCTCACCATCTGACACGGTCCTGGAGAGGACAGACGAGGTTGATGATGGCACGCTGAAAAGAAGATCTTTAAAGTATGCTGGAGTCTAAAATGCTTTCAGTTTCTATGTTTTAGGTCTCAAGGTCCATGGTAATAAAATGTCTTTATTGGATTTATTACAGGCGAAGTAACAGCATTTGCAAGTCTCCAAATTGCTTAAAAGAAGCCCCAATAATCACGAAAGACATTGGTCGCTCTGAATCCCTGAGGTCCTCCAGCAGCTGTTCTCACCGCATTTTCCGTCCATGTGACCTAATCCATGGAGAAGTCTTAGGAAAGGGCTTTTTTGGACAGGCCATCAAGGTCAGCTTCTACTTCCTGTCCCTTTTTCACACAGCATTTCATCCCGTGGCTTCCCTGAGCTTTAAATACTTGCTTTAATCTCAGGTGACACACAAAGCCACAGGGGAGGTGATGGTGATGAAGGAGCTGATCCGCTGCGATGAAGAGACGCAGAAAACCTTTCTAAAAGAGGTGAGTAATGAGCAGCAGGAGGCCAGTGATTTCTCATTCACAGGACTGTCTCTGTGTGAAGATTCTCAGCTAAAGCACACCATGTGCTCCAACAGTCACCTCTTTGTACATTTTCAGGTAGTCCCATAGCCCTGGTGGGAACTCATTATTTAGACTCGTATTTAGTCCCATCTCCAAGCATGTTAAGCTTTGCTTTACTTAGAACTTATTATGGATAACTTGCTTACTATAATCAGGAACTTGTGTTTTTTCCTTGTTTGCCTCACGCCTCAATTTCAGGTCAAAGTAATGAGAAGCCTCGATCATCCACACGTACTGAAGTTCATCGGTGTGCTGTACAAAGACAAGAGGCTGAATCTCATCACAGAGTTCATTGAAGGAGGCACGCTAAAGGATTTCATCAGAGACATGGTGAGTTAAAGGATCTTTCTCCATATTGGACACAAAGGATTTTTATGAGAATGAAGTAAATCTGATGTAAAATGCTCACTCATAAACAGCTCTCAGCTTATGTAGTAGCTGTTTTGGAGGCTTAGATATGAGATGGTGTAGAAGTTCTCACCAGGGAGAGATTTCAACCCATCTGCTGTCCTCCTCCATGGTGTTTGCATTTATTTTTTTTTTAGGAAGTTTTGTTTATTTTTGGGCTCCTGACCAAGTCTGAAAAAAAAATAATCTAGAAAACAGTTTTATTTATGTACTTCTCAGGTCAGGATAAAAGTAGAAATAAGAAGTGTGTAAAAATATTTCTTTAAAAATATGTCAAAAATCCTAAATGAAAGATTTGTTTTCAAAGTAGGCTTAAAATCTAGTTTTTTTTTTTTGAAACAATCCTATATTTACCTCATTAATGATGCCTCTAAATGTTTACTCTGTGCTAATAGGATCACTTTCCTTGGCAACAAAGAGTCAGCTTTGCAAACAGCATCGCCTCCGGCATGGTAAGTTACTTTTTTATATACTTGAAATTTCAAAAAAGGACTGTTTACTTAGACTTTACTGCATGAATGCATATGTAGGTGTCTTGAGTATTCATATAAAACAGCAACATTTTAAGCCAACCGGGAGAAATTTGATGTTTTTTGTATTAACAGATTTTGTTAAAAGCACAATTTAAGTACCTTTTTTTTTTCTCTTTTAGGCTTACCTTCATTCCATGAGTATCATCCACAGAGACCTCAACTCTCACAACTGCCTGGTTAAACTGGTAGGTGAGATCTAAACAACCCCGACACGGCACAGATATCACATGTGGGATGTAGAAACTGTTGCTGTGATTTAGAGATTTTTAAAATGTGCTGGGCCTTTATAAACAAAACAGCAAAAAATTTAGTATATTACCAATCATTAGAATATTTTGACAAAGAAAGTAGAACAAAATAAATATTGTGTAAATTTTAAAAAGCAAAAAACAAAAAAAATATTTCTGAAATTAGACCTTGGGTTCAGCATAGAAACTAAAAATCTGTTTTAGAATTGGTCTTCCTATGGTTCCCTGAAAAGTCCCAAAAAACATTTCATCAGATTTCTAATTAAAAAAGCTAATTTCCCAGTAAACCCAGTGAACACTGTGTCCTCTTTCAACAGGACAACACCGTAGTGGTGGCTGATTTTGGACTGTCCCGACTGATTGTAGAGGAGAAAGTAAAACCTCCCCCAGAGAAACCTTCAACCAAGAAAAGACTGCTAAGGCGCAGTGACCGAAAGAAGCGGTACACGGTTGTAGGAAACCCTTACTGGATGGCTCCAGAAATGCTAAATGGTAAGAAACTTACTCACAATGAGGGGAAATTTGTTTTTTGATGGTAAGAGAATATGGCATTGAGAGATTGTATGAGTTTTATTCTGAATTTGATGTGATTATAGGTAAACGCTATGATGAAAAGGTGGATATTTTCTCATATGGGATTGTTCTTTGTGAGGTAAGCTGGTCTTTATACATGGCTTTTCTTTATCAAATTTGTTTCAATACCTACTTGACTAAACTACTTGATATTTATCAGATGTTTTTAAAAGATCTTATTTTTTTATTCCTTTTAATTCAGATTATTGGAAAAGTGTACGCAGATCCTGAGTGCCTACCCAGGACGCTGGACTTTGGTCTGAATGTTGGCAAGTTTGTGGAGAAGTTTCTTCCTGAAGACTGTCCTCCAGCTTTCTTTCCCTTGGCTGTGGCCTGCTGTGACCTCACACCAGACAACCGGTGAGAGCCTCCTCTTAATCTGATGTCTAACTAGCATGCTGTTAAGTGGAGCTGCAAAACGTATCACATTTTATCATGTGCACTAAAAATGGCTGCTTGCATGTAATCATTGTTTAGCCATTATATTTGACATGCAATCAGTTTATTTTGCCAGTCTGATAGTCTCACTGCCCTTTGTTTTAATGTTTATTGTGGATTTATTGACTTTAATGGATAAACTGCCGAGACAGGTGGGGACGTGATGTAGATGGGAAAGAATGAGGAGAATGTGGGTTAATTCATATGGAGGATAAAAAGTGCCAAAATTAAATAAATAAATACAGCATTAAATAAATAATTAAATGTGTCAATAATAATTAAATGTGGAATCAAATAAATAAATGTGTCATTCATTCATTAAAACCACGTCACTAATATAAAGTGCCACAATTAAATAAATAAATACAGCGATAAACAATTAATTAAATGTGTAATTTATTAACTAAATAAGGAATTAAATATATAAATGTGTCATTAATTTAATAAAATACGTCTTCATTTTATTAAAAAAATATATATAATTATTTTAGTGTGCATATATTTTTTTTATATTACACATTTAATTAATTGTTTAATGCTGTATTTATTTATTTAATTTTGGCACTTTTTATCCTCCTTAAATTCACACTTATTTATTACATTTTGGACAATTGTTATATTTTACAATTGCAATGTTGAACATTTAGAACTGATTTACATATTTTTCTAATGTAATACAGATCCACTGTTTAGCTACTTATATTGTTGCTTTTTCAACAAGGTGATGAATTCTAAAGATTATTGCACATAAATGCATATATATGTATATTTTCTATTTTTGTCATTTACTTTGCAGATCATGTTTGATGCTTTGGTTTATTTTTTTTCATATCTTTTTTAACTGTATAAAACCAAGCGGTGACTAACCATGGGCTCAGGAAAATACTGTTGTTTGCTTAGCAATAGTTACTAAACACCTCAAATACCAACATAAAGCAAGGAAGGTTTGTGGGATGGACAGATTTTTCTTGTATCCTCTGTAGTTTTTAATGTGACGAGAAAAAAATCTTTCCATTTTCAGGGAGCAACAGCTGTTAACATTAGTTTAACCACTTTCTATAATTACCTGTACCTACGGTAAATAAAAGTTTTCCATGTCTATTTTTTCTCTAAAATTGACTAAACTCATAATCTTACACCAATTATGCAGGCCTACTTTAAAAGTTAAGGGCAAAACAAAAACAATAATTTTGCAATTTCAAGGAATCATAAATGTAGCATAATTTCTCTACTATTTCTAACTATATACAGTTTCTCTTATTCTTATTCTGATGTAAAGGACTGTCCACTTATCCACAAAGGCTTAACTCGGATCTACTAAATGAACCTAGAACCTTTTTTTTTTTTTTTTCATAGTGACTTTAGGAACCCAAACATTTTCTTTGACCCCCACCAAATAAAAATAATGTAATATAAAAAGGGGAAATCATGCATGACACATCTCTAGAAAGTGTAGAAACCAAACAAAACCAAAAAACAAAAATAGTTCAAACAGCATTTTTTGTATTTTTTTTTATTTAATGTTTCTTGTTTTTTATCTTGAGTTTTGACCTTAAAGCCACAGAGGAGGACTGAGAGGGAAAAAAACAGTTTCTGCCTGCGCATAGGCACGCCCCTACTACCAGATTGCTTCCTCGTCTTTTTTCTCTTAACCTCGTCAGGCCGGTTCCAATCGAAAACTCTTTGCTAATCTTTTCTTTTCTCCTCCTTCCATAGTCCATCGTTTCAAAAGCTGGAGGACTGGTTTAAAGCCCTCTCCCTCAACCAGGAGCTGGGAATTCCCCTGCCAGCTGAACTGGATGAACTCCATCAGAATCTGAGTCAACTCTACTGGCCTAAGGACCCAGTTCAAAGCTCAGAGCAGCCACCAACCCCAACAGCAGAATCTACAGACTGCAATAGCGTGACTGACAACAACTCCTAGGATTTGTTCCTGTACGACGTGTAATTCACTCTCTGTGATGCCTCCTAAGTGCTGCACTAATTTTGTGGTTGGGAATGAGAGAGGAATAATGTTGAACCCGAGCCATGCTAGAACTGGATAACCTGAGATGACTGGACCAGTCGTCCCTTGTTTTGGAACGTAACTCTTGAGTGCCAATGCACTGCAGTGAGAACAAAGAGTCACATATCAAATTCTTAACTTTTTGTTGTTTTTTTTATTGCTGTCCTTGTTTAACAACACTAATGTGTTCTTAACATTTACAGTTTAACTTTGGCAACACAGGTGATCCCTTTTCCTGTGGACAAACACCTTTTAACAATGTTATTGTCCTCATGTTACAGTAGTCGTATTTTTCTGGCTCTGATGTTTTTCACATAGTGATCCATCCACGCCTTAAAGAGGAGTGGCCGTACTTTAAGCTTAAAGGAAAAACAAATTTAAACTGCGCTGCAGGTAAGGATCATTGTCAAACATGAACCCTTAATAGAAAGGAAAGTAGATCAGTCAGTGCAGAACACTTTTCAAGAAGATTCCTCGAGACGATTTTCATTTCAACTAAAATAATCGAATGAAAAGCACCGACCAGTTTCTTTTGGCAGATTCTAGTTTCTGTAAACCTTTTTAAGAACTGAAACTGAGTCATATTTTTTCTTTTTAAACTGTCCCTTAGAGCTAACTCTATACTGATGGACAGGAAAGGGCAACATATCCTTTGATCTAAATTATAACCAGTTGTTTGGATCCCTCTAACCGATCTCAGATATCCATAAAAGTGTCCATGGTTGTCCACCTGTTTAAATTTCTTAATGAAAAAATAAATTAAATCGGTTAGAAATATCTATCTCCAGCTTTCCAGTTATAATTGCTCATTATTTGTTTTAATTAGCACTGAAGCGATATCACCCTGTTTGTGGGAGAGAGCAGTGGCTGTAAAAACTTTATTTTACCCTATTAGAGCAAAAAACAACAACCTTAGAGTAAAATTTTTTTTTTTTTTTAAAAGACACACTGTGGACTTCGTGACCCAAATAGTTGATGCATATGAGTTATTTTAAATGATTCCTTTTGCCAATATACAGAGCTTGACACTATCAATGCTACAAGCAGGGATCCCCTCTTAAAATACAGACTATGTAAGTTGGGAGATGATGCACCCTCCTTGGCCAGGTCACGTGACCTGGAAGAACATACTGCTTTATGGCCACAGGCTCTTATATCATCATAGAGATAAGGCTTTTTCTCTACAATTTCCCGCCTACTTGACTACTGGTCATGGCTGAGGCCAGGAAAAAGTTTAAACCTTCTCAGGAGGCTAAAAACAGAAATCGTGAAAGGGATCGTTCCTGAGAACAAACAAGAGTCGATCGTGGAAAGGAGTTTATTCACTGGCACAGGCTGAAAGAAGAAGCCAGATATAAAACCGATTCTCATTTCTAAACTTTATTATTAGACCTGAATGTTTAGATGTTTAGTAGAAGCTAAATACGGGATGTTACGGGTCTAGCACCCCTGGTGAACAAAAGTTACACGGTGTGCCTCTAAAAAAAGCCCTGCAGTGTTTTAAGACCCCAAGCAGAGGTAGCTGGTAGTATTTCTGGTAACATTTTGTGTCATTTTATTTTTTTTTTGTCCATGGACAACTGCTTGTTTTAAGACCTTTTCTGCGTTTTTATAAAATGTATTGATTTCCCCCAAATGAGAGCAAAATAAAAGAATTATTAAAACAATTTATCTCTATGATAATCTTCAATTAATTAAGGTTGATTAGACACAAGTGAACTGAATGGATTTTTAGAAATTACTGTATAACAATGGTTTTAATTTGTGCTTCAATGGCTCCTCTCTAAATTCTTAATGTTATATGTTATTTTTTTTTATTCATTTAGTGTTGCTTGCTTTTTTTTTTCTTATTGTTTCTCGAGTTTTGAGCCAAAATTTATAATTTTATTTGCCTTTTTTTTAAAGCAACTGTTCCTTCTTTTTATATGCTGTGACTGGAGGCTAAATACGATGAAGATTTACTTCTCTTCTAAGCTCTTCTGATTTATTTTTTGTCTTGTAGTCAATGTTTTTACTAATTTTTCAGAAAAATGAAGACTTAAAATCATTTTTTTCTCTTTAAAAAATCAGGACAAGGCTTGTTTTGGATGTTGTGAAACAAACTGTAAAGTGGGACTTGTTTTTTTTTCTGTAAGCGATGTACATAATGTGTATATATGATGCCTTTGATTGGATTCAATTGGAATGTTTAGTTGTTTTTATATATTTGAGACATTTCAACAGCATTTTGCTATTGCAAAGCAAGGTACTGATGAACACTTGTAACCACTTTTATTTATATCCTTGTAGTGTTTCATAAATAAAACTTCTGAAAGATTTTTTTTGAAAATCACCCTTTGACTGTTTTCATTAGCACTACAGTAGTTTATCAGAAGTTGTCTGTTACAGTTTCCGATTAAAAATGAAAACATTAAAGTCAATTGAAAAATTAGTTTTTGAGTAATTTGTTAGTTAAAATCTTTCTAGCGCAATTAGATGAGACGTTTTTTACTTTTTATTTTGGAGAAAATCAAGGAGAAAATCCTGTATAGAGTGAATAAGAAATATTTGATTTGTTTTTCTAATAACAACATAGATAAACATATCTCCACAATTATTCGCATGGTCTTTATTTTAAAAGCAGATTTACTTCTGAGACTACCTTTTATTGTAAAATAATAACCCCAAAATACTGTTACTGATTGCTTAAGCATATAGAAAGCTTTGCAAAAGTATACAGTATGTACCATTTTCACTTTTTAACATTTGGTCAAATTACAACCACAGTTTGTATATATTATGTAGCAAATTAAAACAAATTTATGGATGAATGTTAGGGGGAACAAAATTGTCTTTTTTTTTTTTTTTTTCTTACATATTATAATCGGAAAGATGTGTAGACTCTCCAAAGACAAAGAGTGCTACATTTTTTTGCTAAAGAGCTTAAACTCGTGTCTTGCATGATAGCATGACTTCTTTGTTGGTGAAACAGCTCAAGCTCCATCATGCTGGATGGAGGGAATCTATGAACATCCATTTTTAAGTCTTGTTACAAATAAACAATTGGACTTGGGTCTGGACTTCGGTCCACTCTAGCACATTAATGTCTTTTTAAGCTGAACCATTATGTTTCAGAATTACAGGTATGTATGGAGGTTGTTTTTTGCTGGGAGTTCTATGCAGTTTTTCAGTACTGCCCTCCAATTGGTTTTCCCTGTTTTGCTAAAGAAGAGCATCTCCCACAGCATGATGCTGCCACCAACATATACCATCATGTAGTTAATGTGTTAAGGATGATATGCAGTTATTGTTCCAACACAAATACATAACGTTTTTGATGTTGGCAAACGAAGTTAAACATTTATGTGCTTTGACCAGAGACATGTTTCACTGACATTTTTCTGTATCCTAAATATGGCATGTGAAAAACTGCAGATATGACTACTTTCTGGCTTTCTTTCAACAGTAGAGGATTCAGTTAGCAGGACTCAAGACGTATATATGTTCCTTGGACAGACTCTCCTACCTGAGCAGTTAAGTGTGGTGCTACTTGGCTGAGACTCTTCGAGTATTTAATTTAGTTTGTTTACTTTTGACAACAATTTTTCAGATCTGCTCATATTCGTAATCCTAATGTGGGACCAGTCTGATCTTCTCAAATTTCAACGTGTGCAACAGTTGAAACTTTTCCAAGATAGTCATTTCAAAGCATATGACATAAAGGAGGTGGGTAATCTTTAGCTTATGAATCTTATGTTTTAGGCTCTTCTGGCCTTTATTTTTGACATTTTTCAAACATAGGTAGACAGGATATGGGATTAGAGAGAGGAGGAAGACATTGGGCTCAAACCTGTGAAGGCTACATTAAGGACAAAAGCCTCTGCTCGCTTAACCACTGCACCACCGCCATGTCTGAATCTTATGTAAAAAAATTTAATGTGAAGACATGAATTTAGAATCGTTTACCATGTTGTGGTTGGTGGTTTGGTATACAAGCCATCTTACACTTTTACTTTAAATATATTGCCACCAGAGGGAGCAAGTGTTTAAAAAATGGAAGGTTGCATTAAAAGATTATTCTAAATCTATGCATACATACTACTTTTCTATTTTAAGTAAAGACATCAAAACTATTGTGTCTGTGTTGTTTCTTTTTTTTAATATCAGTCTGAGCAACAACAGAAAAGGCCACACAAGTGCTAAAAAAGAAAATTCAATTCAGTGGTACTTATAGTACATTATGATGAAAACTATCACAGCCAGCAGATAAAACATTAACAATCATCGATAACGGGTGATGTGAGTTCAACAGCAACACCAGATAATCTGGAGTGATCACATGAAAACAAATAACACAGTTAGAAATGGCAAAGAAATAATAATAAAAAAAAAACTAAAGTAAAAACTTTCCCTACAGTAATAACAAAACAATAAACTTATTTTTTTGTCTTTGTAACTTTGTACATTACAACAAATATGCCATCTGCATTTAACCCATCCCTTTAAACAGCAGTATATTAGCACTGTTCAGCAGTCGGGGGGGGAAAGTCTGGAGCTTATCTACCCGCCCACCAACTGCAGCTCTGCCTATTTATTAGGATGTAATACTATGGTCCCTGAATGGCACACATACATTAGGTAGACATGCACATGCGTTTATGTTTTTCTCTATTTGGAGAGGCCTAGAACTGTGAGCTGTTCCTGTTCTACTCCATTCCCAATGTCTACTCTGAGGTGCAAAACTCAAACATAGGGATCTAATCTATTGGCAGCACACTGTCATCATGAGACTCAATCAAGACTGTCATAATATTCTGTGCTGAGGCAGTGCCGTCCTCTTCTGAGCACTAACTATCTGTAGTGTGTTTATTTTCCTGTCACTCCTTAACCTGTGGATGAAAGGGGCTTCTGCCATTGAGCGCTACCAGAACAAACAGGATACATTCAGAGGTATCATGCTAAGGCAGATTTAGATCTGGAGGCCTCTCTCTTTGTCTTTCATGGGCCGCCGTTTACTATGTGCATCCTGTAACGAGGAGCATGACTATTTATGGACACGGATCTGTGTCAGCCATGCGTCGGCAAGACAAAACACTCTTTGTACAAACATGTTTCTGGTCTCCCTTGGCACAGCCAGTGAGACACAAATCAAAGCCTAACAAAATCAACTCGCCTCATTAAGAAAACAGACGATAGAAGTTGTCTCCCTGTCCCATAATCGTCTCCTTACTAGCACCCACTTTCCGTCAGACAGCGACAAACTCCGTTTGACTAAAAACTAAAACTCTTTTTGAAGGAGGCAGATTGTTCTATGTCGCAAAAACAATCGATTTTACTTAGTGGTTTTAAAAGGTTTTACCACTGTGTCCATTTTATGTAAGAACATCTGCACCTCCCTGATTAGGGAAAAATGGGGAAAAATGGGGAAGAAAGGACACAGCAGACAGTGCAAAAGTCTTTGGAGCTGATGCTGCTTTTCAACCCTTCAAAAACTGAGCTCCATCAGGGAGGTGGGAAGGAGAAACAGGGACATGGGAGTGATTTGGTCCATTATTTGGAATCCATGCTGCCCTCATGCTCCAGGAGTACCGGCATGCTGACCGATAAGAGCGTCTTCGCCCTCCTGGACGGGAGTGATCTCTGGCTCGGCCGTAATCACGATGGTGTTCTCATCTATGAGCTCGCAGGTGGGGTTGGAGAAGGCCGACAGGGGCAGGGTGATCCTCTGCATCTCGCGCTCATAGGCTCGCTGCTCATGCTGCTTTTTTAAGGACCGTCCCCTGAAGAGAAAACAGAAAACAGTTATGGTGCTTTATGGGACTAAAACCAAAATGTTTATCTTATAAAAAAAGGACACGTTCAGATTGAGCTGTATTCTATGGAAGTGTATGGAAAAAAAGTTTGTTTTTTTCTGAATTAACGGCACAATTTTTAATACTGTAAAAATCAACAAAAAACTTAGGTTTTTCTGAATTAACAAGATATGTTAATATGTTAAATAAACAAATGAATAAAAACATTATGTTTTTTTTTTTTTTTATAGAATCAACAAGATAAGTTTTTATAACAATAAATAAAACGTTGCATTTTTCTCAATTCATGAGATAAGCTGCAAAGAGAGGAGGGAGAGGAAAACAACCATGACATGAGTTGCGCGCAGGTGTCTTTGGAAGGTCGACCAACTAATACTAATTTAATTTACATAACTAAGAAATAAGAGAATTTCCCAGTGTCTGAAAGTCAAACTGAATTAAACTCAACAGATGGGACATATTGAGGCTTCTCTGGTTAAAAAATATGCAATGCCAACAGTAACAGAACATCCACTATGACATCACAGCAGCAAGATCTCGTTAATTCTGAATGTATTTGTGTTTAATTATGTCATTAATTCAGAAAAACTGATCATTTTCTTTTTTTTCCCTAGGTGAATTCTGTTGTATTCTATTGTAATTGTAATTGTAATTTACAACCACAAACCGCAATGCATTTTTGGGGGACTTTATGTGACTAACAAACACTAATGTAATTGTAATTGTAATTTACAACCACAAACCGCAATGCATTTTTGGGGGACTTTATGTGACTAACAAACACTAAGAAGTGCATAATTCTAGGAAAGGAAGGAAAAAGATTAACTGTTTGTTCTGTTTTTTTCTTTTTCTACCAACATTTTTAAG